GCGGTGTCTTCACTGTGGTGAGTCAACTGCTGCCGCTCCCCCATCTCTCGCCGGTGGAGAACAGGAGTCAACGGGAGAGCGCTCTGGGGTCGATTTATCGCGTCTAGACTAGATGCGATAAATCAACCCCTGCTGGATTGATCACTGCCCGCCGATCCGGCAGGTAGTATAGACATACCCTTAGGCCCTGATTCTGCAAAACACTTAAAAACATGCTTAGCTTTAAGCATATGCTTAAGCCCTATTGAGGGACTTAAGTGTATATTTAAGTGTTTGAATGAATCAGGGCCTTAACCAGGACAGTCCCCATAACCCGCATAATCTGCTAGGATGTCCCTGATGTAAAATCATTTTTTAATAGGGGCTTGATGCGCGAATTTCTGGGTGAAATTCTTTGGCCTGCATTACGCCTAGGTGACCAGAATGCTCCCTTTGAGTTTTAAAATCTTGGATTCTATGAACATCTCACAGAGTCTCCATCAGGGGACTCTCTTCTTCCTTTGCAAGAGGCTGAACTTGGTGTTTTAATAGGTCTTTTCCATTTCTAATTACTATGAAGTTAGTGAATTACATTTTTACTAACCCCTCCAGCTACTGTAGCTACACGATAGGGTGAACCATAAAATCTGTTTGCACGAGGCAACTAGATTTATATCCCTGTGTTTCTCATTGCATAAAATCTGTAAAGATGATACTATTTTGAAAACTGAAGCAATGAAGCTGAGATGTTGACAGACTCTGCAAAGCCACAGTGTAAAACTCTAGACAGATATTTTCTCCAGCTGATTGAAAATATCAGCCTCTTCTATTCCAAGCATCTAAGGGATTTTGGTGACTGGTTCCCACTAGTTTAAATGGGAACCGAACCCCCCAAATCTCCTTGTAAAATCTCCACCAGAATCTTTAAGTCAATGACGTAAGTTTATGTGGCTCATTGACATTAATCCTGAATGTTGGTTATCGACAGTCGATGCATTGGAATGAAAATTCCATTGCCTAACTGGGCGGCCTTCTTGTGGGAATGTGATTAGTCAACAGAACTGTTTGTGTTATTTGATTTGCAAAAAGGATTCCTATTTCTCTATTTGCAACGTGTTCAAAAATGCAGTGGTTGAAAAATCGGTAAGAGACTAAGCGGAGTTATTTCTACCAACAGCTAGGTCATCTCGATATACAGATAACGTTTTCTGGCTAAAATGTACTTTAAACTCTGAGATATAAATTTAGCTCCAGTAGCATACTAGCTTGTCTTTGCAATGTGGCCTGGTAGATAGCACCCTGAACAGAGACTCAGGGGACCTCCGTTCTATTTCTGGCCCACTGTGTGACTTTTGGCAACTATCTTTGCCTTCCTGTGCCTCAGTTTCCTCATCTGAAAAACAGGGATGGTGATCCTGACCGCCTTTGTATAGTGCTTTGAGGCCTACTGATGAAAAAGCACTGCATAAGGACTAGGTGTTGTTATTATCTTACTGAGATAATTATTTTTGACACAAGGTCCCTTTTCCCATTCTGTAAAAATAATTATTAAAACCAGAGTTAAATATTCCAAGGGAGTCAAGCTTTTGGAATTTGGCAATTAACAGCACATGGGCCTCCTTTCTCTTGTACTGCGTGTGTCAGTCAGTTTTCTCACTGAGTAGGTTTCTCATTTCATTTTGTGCCCTCCCCAAATTATAAAATAAGTTTCCCACTGCCAGTTCCTCCCATTCATCCCCAGCTGCTCTTCCAACGTGTATTGGCTGACACTTATTTCTGTCTCAGGGCTAGATCATGTCCCTCCCTGTGGAAAAACCCATGGGAGAAGGAAACGTCTGTTGGAGACTCTTCATATTCTTCTCCTCAAACAAAGGCGAGGGATTCAGGCTCACAGAGGGTAGAATTAGGGTTGGTCAAAAATTTCAAAATGGCTCAGCGTCAGGGAAAGATTGCAGTGCCTCATGGGAGATATAGTCCGGCCAGCGAGCAGGGCCCATATAGGAGAAAGGGGGCATGAGTGCTTTGGAACCACAACTCCCATGAGGCACTACAGTGGCTCTAGTGGACATAGAGATTAATGTTGACCTGACTGGAAACTAAATGTTTTGATTGAAAAATGTTGAACGGAAATGGTTTTGAATTGAAATGCTTTCGGAACTTTTAGTTCCATGAAACATTCCTACATTTGGACTATTGGGGCATGAAAACAAATGTGGAAATGGCAGAATCTCCCGCAGGATGGTAATTCTCTTTGTCTGACCATTCTCGTTGACAGAGGACGAGCACAAGACCTTGAAGGGAATTTAAATCGCACGTGGGCCTTTTCACATGGGTGAATGTCAATCAGATAGAGCAGGGTGCACATGCCTCCCTGATTCTTCACCCAAAGTTGCAAACCACTGGAGGATAAACGTTTTTGAATCTGATTCACTAAAAAAAAATAACCAAAACGTGGAGCATGGCCATGCTGAGTTGAAATTCACCAGGAAAACAGTCGGTTATTTTCATTCCCCTGCAATTAGTTTCCGATTGTGCTGTGGTATGCCCAGCTGCCTCTGTCACAGGGCGTTTTCTCAGACCGTGTGGCATTGTGCGCCCCGCGGGCGAGATCTTCGAAAGAGCTCAGGGCTAAAATTTCAAGGGCTCAGCGCCAACAGGGCCAGATTTGCAAAAGAGCTGAGCACCCAGAAGGTCTATGGTGACACTGATGGAGAGATTTTAAAAGCTCTTTTGAAAATCTGGCCTTACGTTTTTTCAGACCTGTGAGAACCAATTGGGGGTGGAGGAGAGGGCGAAGCTGCATTGGCAGAAGGTGAAATGAAGACAAAGATTAAATATCTTTATCACCCTGACACCTCACCCTTTCCTGGCAAATCAAGCCTTTCCGCTTCAAACTACTTAATACCCAATGAGAGGAATCCTGAACAAACTGAAGTCAGTAGCAAAATTCCCTTGACTTCAATGGGGTCAAGATTTTACCCAACATCTGGACGGATTTGGAGATCACTCAAGGTAGCGCCAGTGCTGATAGAGATTTGTGCCTTAGCTAAACCAAGCAAAGCCTTCCAGGGCTGGGAACTCACTTTCACACCAAAGGAACTCAACGTTCTTTTTCCTGTCAAATTCGTAGTATTCCTCCACACCCAACGGTTTGAAGGAAATCACCCTCCGTTACATTGACGCTGCTCCACGGGGGGTGGTGTCTCCTTTGTTAACCTGCTTCAGGTGGCTTCAAAACCATAGAACACAATAAGTGCCACTAGAGGGCTCCCAAAGTAATTAAAAGGCAACTACTCTGTCGCTATACGCAAAAAATTGGCGTCAATGGAATTTCACAGAGTGTAAACGGAAAGCAAAATTTGGCCCTGATCTATATGCCCCTTGGCAAACTGCCTTACAAATGTGTGTCCATTTCCTTTACACCAGGGGTGGCCAATCTGTGGCTCCGGAGCCACATGCGGCTCTTCAGAAGTTAATATGCGGCTCCTTGTATAGGCACCGATTCCGGGGCTGGAGCTACAGGCGCCAACTTTCCAATGTGCCGGGGGGTGGGGGGACTCACTGCTCAACCCCTGGCCCTGCCACAGGCCCTGCCCCCACTCCACCCCTCCGCTGAGCCTGCCGTGCCCTCGCTCCTCCCCACTTGCCCCCAGAGCCTCCTGCATGCCACGAACCAGCTGATCGGGAGGTGCGGGGAGGGAGGGGGAGGTGCTGATCGGCAGGGCTGCTGGTGGGTGGGAGGCG